CGTCAGAACAGGCGCAAGGGCTGCTCTAAATACAACAGGCTGCTGGGGTGAAGTTCAAGTTCTGGCAAGAAAGGGAAAAAAGCAACGCTGATTCCTCGGTCTTGTAAGATTAGATCTTACGGAACACAGCCAAATTCCTACAGACAGGGTCAACAGCAATAATTTTGCAAATCGGACAGTTTCTTAGTTTTTTGATTGATTGGTTGATGGACTGTATTGGGGATTGATTCCAGCACCTTTGCACTGAGCTACAGTCCCAACCCTTTTTAAAAACATGGGGCCTCCCTAAGTCACTAAGTTGCCCAGACTGGGCTCAAACTTATTATCCTCCTGCCTCAGCGTCCCAGAGGGCTGGGCTGACAAGCGTGGGTCCCCATGTCTGTTTTTAATGGACGAATAACTGTACATGCAGATGGCATTCAGGAGCCGTCACTGTACACGGAGCCCAGGGTCAGCCAGTCAGGTGGTCTGCGGAGCGTGCTGCAGCCCTTGGGGCGTTTGAGCCTGGGATCAGCCAATCCCAGCAGACACACGGCTTCCTCAGGCCAGGCTTAGCTTCCACGTCCAACGCAGTTCCTGGCACACCCGTAATCCAGCTGCAAGAATCTAATTGGCATGCTTGTGTTAAAAACCAGGAACTGTCTACATTGATTTCATGGTTTACTCTTTCCCCTTCCACGCCTGATTTAGCAAGTTAGTGCCTTTTTTTTTTTTTTGGCTGTTCTAAGGATTAAACCTAGGGCTTATCCCAAAATAGGCAGTGGTTCTACCACTGAAGGACGCCCTCCGAAACCCACCCTTTTTATTGTTATTATTTATTTATTTATTTTGGGAGGGGATAAGGTCCCACTGGGGGCCCTTTTGACCTTGAACTTACAATCTAGTAACACTGTACCGGCGCATGTGTCTGTCATCTTTTTTTCTCTCCAACTCATACGGTGAATTTCTTTTTTCTTTCCTTTTTTTTTTTTTTTTGTTTGCAGTGGGGATTGAACCCAGGGTCTTCACCCTGTGCCATGTCCCCAGCCCTTTTTAAATTTTTTATTTTGAGACAGGGTCTGGCTAAGTCACTGAGGCAGGAGATGGGGGCAGGAACGCTGGCTGGTAAGGTGGGCCAGACCTGCGAATACGAAGTCCTGGACAGAGACCCACGGAGCCGCCATCTGCAGCCAACCAGAGCACTGGTGTCGGCTGCTGCAGAAACAGGGGATTTGGGCTTGGGTGCCCAGACCTGTCTTGGGCGGTGGGTGGGCAGTGGCAGGAGGTCATCAGAGCTCCTCTGCACTCCTCCGCAGAGCCCCTGTTCTCCCTGCGGTCAGCTCCTTCCCCTGCTTAGCTGGGCCTCCTCCATCTGTGCAGCGTGTCTTTATTCCAACCTTTAGGAACGTAAAACCTCGCTGCCTTCTGTGCTCGTTTGGTCCAACTCCTTGCTCAAGGCAAGAACCTGGAAGCCACCTCTGCAAGAAGACCCCCAAACACCAGGACCTGGTAACCTAATTTACCCAAGCTGGGCTCAAACTTGCAATCCTCCTGCCTCAGCCTCCCAGAGTGCTGGGATGATAGGCCTAAGCCACCACACCTGGCTGGCGAGTGAATTCCTGGGGACCTAAAGAAAATTAAATAGGCACGGCTTTGAAGTTGCTCTCTGGAGACTCTGGAGAACTCGGGGCCACCTTTCTTCCAGGTTGTACATCAGCCTCTGCACACCCCGGGACTGTCTCTGGTCTTCCCTCCGCCCAGGGTTTTGCCATGTCTGGTTGTGACCACGTTGGTCACTCTCCAGGGTCAGGGGAGGCACCCAGGCACAGAGCACATACCTCTGATCGCAGCACTCAGGAGGCTGAGGCAGGAAGATTGCTATGAGTTCCAGGCCATCCTGGGCTACATGGTGAGACCCTGACTCAAAAAATCAGAAATAAATGAATACATTTAAAAATCACACAAGACGCTCGCCACGTGCCAGGCACCCACCCCCGGGCGTCTGTAGAGCACAGACCTTGTGCTCTCGAGCCGGCAGCTCGCTGTTCTGAGGGAGGAGAACCTTCCTGCTGCCTGCTGCAATTGCTCAGGAACGGGCTGCTCCCACACTCAGCTCACGCTCATGGGAAACCTCTGCTTCCGCTTCTCCCTCTGTCCTGAAACGTCCCGGGCTTCTTCACCCTCTCCTTTGCCATTCTTCAAACCCTGTGGGCCAGCGTCCCTTGCTCATTTACTTGTAGATAACAGAGCACTGTTTTTATGGTTTTAGCAGAAAAGATTGGTTTAGTTTAGTTGTTTAGTTTTAGTCTTTGTTTAGAGACAGGATCTCCCTGTGTAGCTCAGTCTCGACTTGAACTCACAGCAACCCTCCTGCCTCAGCCTCTCTAGGGCTAGGCTCGCAGGCGTGTGCCGCCTTGTAAGTTCACCAGGATTCGGTCTTGAGGGCTCCACACAGTGACCTTATGCAACCATCCCCTCCCAAGGCCCCACCTCTGAATGTGCTGGTCAGACTCAGTTTCCGCCTCCTATCCTCACCATGGGGTCCAGCGTCAGCCCAGAAGCCTTGGGACTCCGAGCCGACCCCAGCTCTGCAGTGACGGTTGGAGGGTGCTCCTGGGACCCCAGCCTTGGTTGCTAAAACCAAGCGGGTGCAGAGCAGCCAGCACAGGCGGGTCGCCTGCCACATTGTGCGGGCCACGGGCTCGGCTCCGAGAGATGCATGTGGGCACGGGAGGCTGAGTCAGGAGGGAGGCAGCCCCTGCCGGAACAGCAGCACGCCCACTGGCCACTGCCTCTCTGATGCCGCCTAGGAAGGGAGGCTCCAGCCTCCCCCGCGAGTGACTTTCCCCAGTGACAGCGACCACAGGAACCCTGGGTGAGGCGAAGTTTCTCATCTCCTCCCTGCACAAATGTTTTTCCTACAACCAAAGGTCCCTGTTCAAGCCCCGACCTGTCTGCGCCACAAGCCCGGCCTTTTAAGCTCAGCTCAGCCACCGCTCCTCTGCACGGACGCCGCCATTAGATTCTCCCTCTTAAGAAGAGACCGTGGGCCTGGGATATGGCTCAGCGGCACAAGCACCTGCCTGGCAAGTGTAAGGTCCTGAGTTTGAGTCCTGGTACCAAAAATAAATAAATAAAATCATTGCAGCCCTCTGAATCAGTCAATAATCCCCTTTTTAAAAAAGAGAGACATGGCTTTTCAGCCGTGGTTAATTTAAGCTCCCGAGATAGATCTACACCACAGGCCTTATTTTTCACAAGGATGTAATTAATGTTACTGGATTTGATGGACTAGACACTGATTTAGCTTCACAACCTAGAGAAGTAGAATCAGTTCCAACAGAAGTTTAGCGAAGGAGCCTGGCGTAGTGGTGCACATCTGTCATCCCAGCACACTGGGAGGCTGAGACAGGAGAATGGCAAGTTCAGCCCAGCCTGGGTAATTCAGTAACCCTGTCTCAGAATTTTAAAAAGAAGGCAGGGGTGAGGACTAGCTCAATGAGAAGGTCATTCTGAGTGCCAGCTTCTCAGCCTAAAGCCCGAAAGTGACCAAAGCATCTACAGCGGTGCAGGTCACTGGGGTCGCATCCATTCTGCTATTTTTGTCCAGAGACTTCTGTGTCTCTAAAGTGAGCTTGAGAGCTGGACTTGGTGGTGCACACCTGTAATCCCAACACTCTGGAGGCTGAGGCAGGAGGATTGCCTCAAGTTCAAAGGCAGACTGGCTACATAGTGAGTTTAAGACCTGATCTACACAGCAAGACCTTGTCTCAAAATAAACAAATTAATTAATTAATTAAAGTGAGCTTGATTCTGCTCAAGTATTATTAGATGAACTGATTCTTCCCCTCTTCCAGGGACCTCAGAGCTGAGGCAGCATCTCGCTATGTCATCCAGGTTGGCCTCAACCTTTTGGGGATCCTCCTGACTCAGCCTCCCGAGTGCTAGGACTCCAGAGGTGCACCTCCATGCCTGGTTTAGGAGGGCCCTTTCTTTAAAGGGATTTAGTTTCTGTGGCCACTCTGGTGTTGTACCTGCATGTCCCTTCTTGTCGGGTCTGCCCTGGACCCGAGGGGTGTTGCTGGTGTCATCCCACCATGGACCAGGTCTTCTTCCTAGAGAACAGCGTGGCTTATCTGAAGCCAGTTCTGCATGGTTTGTTCATGCAAAAGAAAAACATAAAAACCGCAAAGCTACCGCTCTACGCCTCCTCGCATGGGATTCCTCTTACCCAGACTAGGCTTCCTTGGTTCCCAGGCTGCAGAAAACTTCGACGTTCTCGAGGGAAAGGTCAGGTTCATGGGCACCACATGGAGACCCCGTGCCCAGCCGTGTCCCGCTGCGCTCCTGAGCCGGGTGTGCGCACCTCGGAAGGTGCGCGAGGAGTTCACGTGCCCCGCCCCCCGGTGCGCCCAGGGACCCGGCCTGTACTGCAGGACCAATGCCGTCTCCAGACCGCAGTGCCCCGGTCATGCACAGGCACGGAGCGAGGACGGGGGCAGGGGGAGGGGGCTGGGCTCCAGAAGCCGGTTCTCGCCTGTGTCCCGCCATTTCGGGGCTGATCACGGAGCAGCGAAACCACCGCGCTGTGCTCACCGTCCTGCGCTGGGCCGTGCAGAGCTTTCCCTACCGATCCTGACCGAGTCCTCCAAAGCGGGGTCTCTGGGCATCTCGCAGATGGGCGCGCGGGGCCCGGACAGGCGGCACAGAAAGCCGGGGACAGGCGGCCCTGGGCTACTGTCCTGTGAGCGACCTGCTGAGCGGGGTTCCCCTGCATGTGCTAGAAACGTCGCACTCTGAGGCCCGGGGCACACCCTTGAGCACACAGCTCCAGGAGAGACTGCGGCTTCCATAGTTCCCTTCCCTTCCCTCCCCTGCCCCTGCCCTTCCTCCTCCATTCTTTCCTTCCTTCCTCTTTCTCCTTTTTTTTCTTTCTTTTTCTTTTTTTCCTTATGGAGTCTCACCGTGTTGCTCAGGGTAGTCATGAACTCACAGGCTCAAGCAATCCTCCTGCCTCAGCCTTCTATGTTGTTAAAGACTACAGTGGTCATTTCATCTCTCAGTGGGGAGCCAGCTCAGACCCTCACCCATTCTGCCTCAAAGAGGGAGGAAGGAATTGCTATGGTGGATCTGTAATCTTAGGTTTGCACTATGCCTCAGACCCCAAGAAGGAAAATTACATAAAGGTGAAAATTCTGCACATCCGCATTTCAGGGGCTAGAATCCCCCTGGGGCACCAACAGCCCAGAAGTGCCGAGAAGGAGCTGGGTCACAGGTGTGGGGTGGCACGCTGCACGGTTTGACCCGGCTGCAGCCCCCAGCCTCGCAGCCCAGTGTGTTCCAGTCTGCACGGGGTCGTGAGCGCCCGGCAGGCTGTGGGATCAGCGGAGACAGTGCGGCTCTGACTGCTGCGATGATTATCACAGCAGATGCCGCGTTATCTACACCTGTCATCTCTTAATCCACAAGGTACACGAGAAGGATGTCATTTCCACGGGAAGGAAGGAGCCTGAGAGCTGCCCAGGGCCCCAGGGGACACAGCTGGGGTTCGGTTTGGTTCGTTTTTTGAGAAGCCAGGGTGGGACCTCTCGGAGAACTGCGGGCTGCTCCAGCTTGTGGCCTGGGTGGCCCCAGGCTGACCTGCCAGGGAGAGAGAGCCTCTGGCAATGAGGTAAAGTGAAAAAGTCTCTTCAGGACACGGCAATGTGACAAGAAGGGCCACGCAGACAGAAGCACAGTCCTCTGCGCCCTTTCCTTCAGAGCGGCTGCCCGGGCACAGCAACTCGGACACGAAGCCCAGGGGCTTTGCTGGGCGCCCTGGTCACCATATCTGGCCCTTTAATGGCTCCAGGTTCCCTTGAGAACGAAGCGTGAATTCCTTCTGGGGCTGGCTTGTCTGGTCTCCTACGGGAGACAGGTTGCAGGGACAATCGCAAGTCTAGGGACACGTCCCCTCTGAACGGGCATCTGCACCCTGCTGGACCCAGCACCAGGCTGGGTGGGAAGAGCTCCCTCTCCTGCACCCAGGCGCTCGCTTGCGGGGCCTCCAGCAGTGTGCATGAGGCTGAGGGCCTCTCCTCGCCGCCTTTGCAGGGCTTTCTGCTGGATTCACAGGGGTCACTTATGGAAAGGCCTTTGAGAAAAAAATCTAAACTTCTCTACGTACAAACAAATGTTCCAAAACCAAGCGTGGCACATGCCTGCAATTCCAGCGCTTGGGAGGCTGAGGCAGGACGATGGCTGGGAGTTCAAGCCAGCCTGGGCTACATAGTGAGTTCAAGATCAGCCTAAACTACCTAGTGAGATGCTGCCTCAAAAAAAAACAAAATTAAAAGTTTCAGAAAAAGATTCTCACTATTTGCCTGCATCTGTTTTGAATGGCATGGACTTTGCAATGGAAAGCACCGCATTAAAAGGACAGGAAGGATCAGTTCCTGTCCTAAACACACACGGAGACAAGCCAGATGAGTGTGCAGGGCCGTGGTGTGACTCCGGCCACCTTCGCAGGGAAGTGCTCGTGTTCTAAGGGCAGAGGACAGGGCCCCGGCGCCCTCCTCCCGCAGGGGCAGGGCGGGGCCCGCTTCTCGCGGCTCTGCAGGGAGGACGCCTGGGAGCACGAGCCTGAGTACGCCAAGGCACCGGGGTGGCAAGGTTGGCTTTTATTTAAAAACGCTGAGAACGGGAAGTTCCCTATCAGCCCTTTCGCAGGGAATCGGAGTGTGGGAGGTTAGGAAAGCGGGTTTGTGCACAGTAAGGGTGGTACAGCGATCAGCCGGTCACCTCGACCTGTGGCTTGACACACACAGCTGCGGGAACAGGGGAGGGGGAACAGGGGAGGCCGCACAGAGCGCCGCCCAGCACCCGGCCCTGGGGTGTGGTCACTCCCGTCCCTCGCTGCTCCCTGCGTTGGGTGCACACAGGCGACTATCTGCACGGTGTCTGTGGCCGGCGGGCGTTTTGTTTAAGTCTACGCCACCGGCCCAGGCCAGAAGAAGGAACACTGCGGTACCTGCGGGGGAGGAGGGAGGGCGGAGAGGGCCCAGCGTCTGAACCGCAGCCTCTGTCGAGTCCCCAGCCCACGCCACAGAGCCCAGCGAGGCGGCCCGTCTCTGCCAGCACGGACGTAAGCCCGCCTGCCTGGTCCCAGGCGTGTTAACAGTCCTTTAGAAAGCATGCTACATCATTTGGAGGAAAATATGCCAGGCAGAACATGGTTTTTAAAAGTGCTGGAAAACGACTCCTATCGAAATGTCACCTACCCGTCAGCAGCCTGTCGGCCAACACAGCCCAGCCGGTCTACGTCTGTGAATTCGCAGCGCCGGGCAGGCGCTGGCTTTCTCAGTCACTGCTCCGCAGGCTGCAGACGGCTCGGCGCCAGGCGGCGGGCAGAGCCGGGAGGCCTGTGATGCCCACGTTCCTGCGACTTGCCTCCTGCCGGCGTCCTCACTGTCTTTGATCACAACTACGAAGGACCCCAAGGGAAGAAAACCCCGGGAGGAGCAGAGGGCAGCGGAAAGCTCTGCCTGAGCCCAGGGGTGTCCCGGCCAGGATCTCTGGCCCCAACGGCCTTGGAGCTTAGACACCAGCACCGAGCACTTGCCGGGCCAAGGGAGATGGCAACATGACTTGTCACAGAGAAGTCCCACAGACGCTCGGGGCGGGCACTGGTGGGGCTCTAACCGCCTGCACTGAGCTAAGACACAGGGACTTCCCCTGGGTCATGTGTTCGCATAAACATCTCGGCCAGAACTGAGGGGCGGGCACTGGTGGGGCTCTAACCGCCTGCACTGAGCTAAGACACAGGGACTTCCCCTGGGTCATGTGTTCGCATAAACATCTCGGCCAGAACTGAGGGGCGGGCACTGGTGGGGCTCTAACCGCCTGCACTGAGCTAAGACACAGGGACTTCCCCTGGGTCATGTGTTCGCATAAACATCTCGGCCAGAACTGAGGGAAGCCAGCTTCTCAGTGAAACCTGTAAGGTCGGCGATGGCAGGAGTGACAAAGAAAGAAGGAAAAGGATGAGCGTGCCTAGGACGCGGTGCCTGGTACCGGCGTGCGACTGTCACCCAGCAGGGAAATGCACCCCTGCCCCCTCTGGCTCATAAACCAACCTGGAGCTTTGGCTCACCCCATCTACCCCAGACCTGGGACGGGGCTGCAAAGGGGCGAACCCACCCGCACCCCGGCCACTCATCGGCACCCGAGGACCGTCCAGTACATCCACACTGTCTGTGAGCGGCGGGGGCCGAGGGTCGAGGCATCGTTCCAGGCGCCCAGCCGTGTCCCTGCCCCGCAGGTGGCGGCCATTCCAAGATTCCTCGGTGGCATCCAGGACCGAAAAGGGACCCCCAAAGCCCCTCTGCTCCTACGTCAGGACACCGCTAGTTGACGCAGTTCTTCGTGACTCTGTTACTTCTGTCCATCTGTCGGAGGCTGTCCGGCACGTTAATGGTGACTTCTTTTGCAGACATGCGCTTTGTGTCTCTTTTAGCCTGTGGGAAAGTCGAAAGGTGAATTGAGTTACTGGGAAATAGCCACAAGGCCTCACATCCGCAATTGCGTCTTGAGCTTGTTACAGAGGCGGGGCGGGAAGAACGGCCTCCAGGAGCGGTGCCTACAAGCTCCTCTTCTGCGGATTTAAAAGTAAATTTCCTTTTAACAGGAACATGGAAACATAAATGATGCACGCCTGTGCTAGCGTGAAATGATGCCGCATGCGCTGTTATTTCCAGGGGTCCTCTGTGGCATTTCTCATACCAGCCTGGCACAGAGCCCAACATAAGAGCCGCCCCGTAGCACCCTGTTGAGAGAATGAGCCGCAAATGTCCACCAAAGCTCAGTCCCCAAGTGCCCACCAGTGGCTTTGGCAGAGAGGTTAAGGTTTGGGGCTTTGGAGTCAGACTTCGTTTCAGACACTGGCGGGATAATCTCACCACAGGGGAGTCTTTCTCACCCTGCTCATCCCCCCTTTCTTCATCTGTAATGTGGAATAACAGCTCCCTCATAAGGGTAGGCTGAGTCCAGAGGGTGTGCGTAGAAGATACTCAGCGCACTGCCTGCTGCTAAATACAAATTCGAAGAAGAACCTGAAAAGCAGGGTTACTCACTTCTAGGCGAAGGTACACGAATAATAAGCCTAGCGTTAATTGTAAACATTAAAGCACTAACAAGATTGTAGTTTCTTTAGCAATGATGCCCACCCTCCCAAAGAGAAAGCAGCGTCACCAGAGGGGGGATTCTGTGTCCCCTCCGCTCAGCGGCCGCGTGACTGTGTGGCCCCGTGTGCACAGGCGTCCACTTTTCTTATGACACGGTCCCCGAATACAACCAACCAGGCCAGCTGCCGCGTGCTGGGGACGCTGGGTACAAATCCACAGCACCCCAGTCCAGGGCCAGAGGCCCACGCAGGGGCCCTTGCTGCTGCCCCCAGCGCACCATGGCCCAGGAATCAATACCTGGGACCCCGCTGCCGGGGACCCACCTGGAGGTGATGCTTCACAGAGACGTGGCCGCAGGGGCATCCAAAGACAACTGAGCTGCCTCGGTGCCCTGCCTACCAGTCTCGAGAGAGAGGAGGTCGCTGCTTCTCTCTTGGTGTTCCCAGGAGAACAGGAAACTGAGACACAGCTGCCACTTGGTCACTCTGAGGAAGGAAGGGACGGAGGGGTGGACGGACACACACCCTGCCAGATGGCGCGGTCCTGCCCTATCCGCCAGCGGTCACTCCCGCTTAGGACTGCATCTTCCACCCGGGTCTTCTAACCCCGCGTGGGCACTGGGGCCAGGGGAGATTTTTGTGGATTTACTGGTTTCCCGCAAAGCAGAGGACCCAATGTCTCTGACCCTTTAAAGTAGACATCTCTGGCTACGTGTGTGCAACTCCTCCGAAAAATTCTTTAAAGCATTCTCCCCAAGTGCCCTCACCTTCCTGCTTAGCCTGGACATGGTGCTGAACCGCCTCGTACCAGCTAGTCACATGCACGGGGAAGGAAGGAAAGAGGCTGTGTTCGCCTTCCAGCAGGGTGCTGTCACCTCACAGCTTAGAGACCCCGGCAAGGCCTAGAGAAACAGAGATCGCATTTGAAATGAGCCAAGTGGAGGGCTGCTGGCATTTCCACCTCAAGTCGGTGGAAGGTGAGAGAGCTGTCCAGGCTGGAAATGTAAACTTCCTGTACTGCAAAGAAGCTTTTCTTTAGAAAAGATGACTGGCAAGATTCCACCAGAAATTATTAAAGACTACACAGAAAATTCCCTGCTCTATTCCAGTCTGTTTTTCAGTTTAAAGGAGTGAAGCGAGAAGCCAGGGGTGGTGAAATCTCAACACTCTGAGAGGCTGAGGCAGGAGGATTGAAAGTTCAAGGCCAGCTTAGACAACTTAGTGACTTAAAGAGACCCTGTCTCAAAATTTAAAATAAAAAAGTGCTGAAGATGTGACTCATTGCAAAGGCCCTGGGTGCAGTCCTCAGTACTTAAAACACACACATTATACAAAAATTCAGTAGTTGGGTGATCTTCAATTTCCAAGCCTGGGTAGAATCGAGGCTATACCCAGTCACCCTGCGAGAGAGCACCGCACACACCTGCGCGTGGCCCAACTGCAGCGGCAAAGGCCGCACCTGCTCACGAGCCAGGACCGAGAATGCAGGTGTCCACCGTGCAGTGTTGCCGAGCTCCAGCAAACACTGAGGAACACTGATTCTTCGAGTGAGAGGGGTAAGTGTGTCACTTAGCATTAGTGAGGTGCCCGTCTTAGTTACTAATCTCACTGCTGAGACAAAATACCTGACGCCCAAAATTAAGGGAAGAAAGGTTTAATCAGCTCACAGTTTGTGGAGGCTTCGGTCCATACTTGGCTGGCTCCAAGGCAGGGTGGCGGGGCAGAGGGGAGACTATTCATGGCGGCGGAGGACGGCAAAGCAACAAGGGCGAAAAGGAGCAGAAAGGGAAAAAGGGAGGAGCAAGCCTCTTTCCCTCCCTGTGCTGTACCCAGGCTGCCCTCGCTAGGGCGGGGCTAGCACTCGCACCACCAATCCCGGCATGAGACAATGAACCAATCACAGTGAGGCTTTGGGGGAGACCCAGACACAAACCATAAGAGACCAACCTCTGGTCTGCCCAGGATGGACTTGTTTAAAAACTAAAAATCTCACCAGCGGTGCTAGTGCACCCCTGTAATCCTAACACTTGAGAGACTGAGGCAAGAGGATCACCTCAAATACGAGCCCAGCCGGGGCTTCAGAGTGAGTTCAAGGCCAGCTTCAACTACATGGTGAGACCATGTCTTAAAAACAACAACAACATAAACAAAAACAAAACTAAAAATCTCACGTGCCAGAACCCACGGCTCCGGTGCCGGCCAGCTCACCCGACACTCACCCCTTCCTGACGACGGGCAGGGAGGGTCCCTCCAACAAGGGCTGCCTTTAAAGAGCCCCTCTGTCCTCCCCCAGGCCTGCAGGGAATTCACCCCGCCTTTCTCAGCTCTCCCCAGATGCCAGCCGAGATGCTCTCAGCTTGGCTGGACTCAGCTCACAGTCCGTGACCTCACAGGGCTCGGCAGAGTTTGCACAGTCCTCGGCAGGCAGCAGAGAGACGCAAGGCCTACCAAGATGACGATTTATCAGGCGCCACTCTTCTGTTTTTCTAGTATTTTTAACTAAAACGCAATTGAACTTGAAGAAGACAGAGACCCAGTCTAACCTTGTTCCCTACAGTATCCTCAGAATACAGCGCGCTGCCCGCCACATCCCAGACCGCGGACCAATGACTGGAAGGTCACGGGGGAATCTTCACTGAGGAAGCGCCCGGAGCTCCAGCGTGCAACGGGTCAGCGGTCGGCACCTACACTGAGGAAGCACCACCCCTGCCCCTTGCCGGGCCTTTCCTCCTGGAGTCTGATTGTGTTCAGAACCGGCTGCCCTTTGCGCCACCCGAGAGACTCTGGAATCACTGCGTCGGCTTCCTCGGCCAGGCAGGGCGACCGGAAGAGTGTGCTTGAAGCCGGGCAAAGGACTGACTGGATGAATGGCGATGTCTTACCGTGGGAATTTTTTAGTGTAAGCTTTCACCATATTTTCAGCCTCCCCACCTCGGCGCTCCTCCCTGTGCTGCTAAGATCCGCCCTTTCCCACGCTTCCGTGCACCAAAGAACAACATCCCCTCGCCCCGGCTTCCCTAACGGGCTCCTTGGCTCTCTCCGTCCTCTGAGGGCCCCGTTTTTGCTCTCGTCTTTACAGCACCTTCGGACCCTTCTGTGAATGTCTCCCAGGGCCGCTGTGCGGCAGGAACTCTGGGCTGGTCCTGCGCCCCTTTCCTGGCCGGGTCTCCTGGCTCAGCCGCCGACACCCGCTCCTCCAGCCAGGGCTACGCACGGCCGCGCCTGTGGGCCAGGCGCTAGGTGGGGAGGGGCCGAAGCTGGAAGTCCCTCAGCTGAGATGCAGCCCAGACGCTGAGCCTTTAGCGCGGCCTGGTCGCTCTGCCAAGAATAATAAAGCAGCTGGAAAACACGCCGCTCCTGAAGACAGGCTGCTCCCTGGGAGGCGGCCACACAGTCGGAGCTTTGTCTGCGTGGAGCCAGAGCCATGCGTCCCTCCCCTCCGTCACTGGACACTCGAGGAGGTGGCCTTCGGGCTGGACGGGTGAGAGTTCTGAGCCCAAGGAAGTGGCTCATCGGGGTGAGCGAGGGAGAACTGGGGCAGCCCAGAGCGCCCAGCAGTCAACGAACAAGAGAAGAAGTGTGACGCAGAGCTTCCTCCTGTGTGTGCTGAGGAGGCGGGGGGCTGGCTGGAGAAGACAGGGCCGATGACGTAGTGGATGCTGCAGGGTCAGGAAGGTCCCACACACTGCAGAAGCCAACGTGCAACGGCAGGACACTGAGCTCCACCTGTGCAAGACCCTGCTGTTCACGTGTCCTGCCAGTCACACCAGGGAGCAGGCGGAGAGAGCC